GGGGGGGGGGGGGGGTGAGCAGGCTGGAAGGTGCAGGGAAGCTTTGCGTCCGCCCCGACCTGGATCCCAGGAAAGCTCTGTTGAGTTCTGGGTTCAGGAAGGAGCTCCACCTGCCCGGGGAGAGGGTTGCAAGTGGGGGCATAGGGGTGTTACCCCATTTGCAGAGTTTCTGAGGATTTGCAGCCTCAGTTCATAGTGATGCTGCAGAAGAGGGAAGCACTATCCTCTTTCTACAACTGTCCTAGAGGGAAGTGCCTTGCCCACGGTCACACAGAGCCAGAACTCATCTTGGTCTCCCAGCTCCCAGCCTGGACTATGCTGCCAAACTCAGATTCCTCCTAGTGTCCTCCTGGTCACATCCACATGGCTTTCCTCCCAACCCTGCATCTGCCTCCAACAAAATGAGCCCTGGCTATTTGCTCCCACCTGGGCCGGTAGGCAGAGCGCGCAGCTCGGCCGCAGCCTTGAGCAGCTCGGAGCAGACCGGAGCCTCCCGCCGATGCCTTGCCCGGGCCCTTTCACGAGAGCGTGCAACGCAGCCCTGGGGGCACCTCCGCATTACTCCGAGCTCTTCCCTGGACCACGAGTGTTGGTGTCTGGTGCCCGGAAGTGGGGGTGAGTGCGTGGGGTTTATTTTGTCATCAGCTGTCCTATAGTTGGGAGGAGGCCACACAGAGGTAAAATCATAGCAAATGAGGCTTGGAAGGGACCTCACATCCAGTCCAACCCCCTGCTCAGAGCAGGACCATCCCACTACAGCATCCCAGCCAAGGCTTTGTCTACCTGGGTCTTCAAAACCTCCAAGGGTGGAGAGCCCACCACCTCTCTGGGTAGCCTGTCCCAGTGTTTTACTACCTTCCACATGAGAAAGTTTTTCCTAATATCCAACCTCAACCTCCTTTGCTGCAACGTGAGCCCATTGCTCCTTGTCCTGTCGTCTGTCCCCACAGCCCAGCTCCATCCTCTTTGCAGCCCCCCTGCAGGGAGCTGAAGGCTTCTATTCAATCCTCCTCGGTCTTCTCCTCTCCAGACTAAATAACCCCAATTCCCTCACCCTGTCCTCATTAGTCCTGTCCCGCAGCTCCCGAAACATTTTCATTGCCCTGCCCTGGACTCTCTCCAATTTGTGCCCAAACCAGACACAGGACTCCAGATGTGAGCACGTGTTGCCCCCATGTCCACTTTCCTGCTTCAGGAAAAGGACGGCTAACTTCACCGTGCAAAGCCAGCCGTGAGCGCGATGCATTCCCCAGGCTGTGAATGAAACAAGTCCTCCACAGACGCTATCCCGTTCCGCCGCAGCAAGCGGCACCTCGGGGAACGCCTGTTCTGCAGGGATTTTTGTCCCTTTTGTCCCGAGGATAAAACATCAGCCGAGACTCTGCTTAACTTTTCCATGACACTTGCCCAGGTGAAACCTGTTTCTGCTTGAAAAAGAAAAAAAGACCAAAAAAAAAAAAAGACCGGATCGTTCCAGTTCAACGCAAGGAGGAAAAAAATGCAGAGCCACAAACTGAGAAGACAGATAAATCCTGGAGGGGATGTGATCTCGTTCCCCAGGCCAATGGAGAAGTTGCAATACATAAATTATCGCACCTAAAAGCTTCCATAATTGAACTTGTATTTGATTCGTCCTAAAGTACCACCAGGCCCTCTGCATCCAGCCGTTTGATTAGACGTCTGTAGCTGGACGCCGTGTATGCTTGAAATCACATTACAGGAATAGAGATGGACAAGAGGATTCATTTGAATGGAAATCAATTTGATTAGAAAAGTAAATTACCCGGAGTATCAGAGCAGCATAATGCAGTCTGAATTAAAAAATGGGAAAAAAAACAACAACCCAGCGGTCACAAATACCTTTAATATTTGCAGGGAGTGAATGACCTGTCACTCTCTGGCAGGTGCTGTGGGGCACCCTGAAAGCACAGCCCTAAACCCTGGGAGTGAGCAGGGCTATACAAGGGGCAGTGACTCTGTGTGTAGGTGTGTACGTGTGTACTTGTGTGTGTGTATGTCAGTGCACTCGCACTGATCCCAGGGTGGTGCGTTAGGGCTCAGGTTGTAGTTGCCTCTCAGAGCTCGGGATATAAGTGGGGTGCCAAGGGCATGCTGGGCTGGGGTTGGGTAGGGCTCCCCAGACTGGGGTTAGTCAGTCTTGGCATTGAAGACAGGGACTCTCCAGGTGTCATTGATGATCTCGGTGAAGCTTAACCCACCATGAACTGTATTGTCCAGCATGCTTCTCGGGGACCCAGTCCCAGGAGGTTTCACTACATCCATTTTGGGGTGTAGCACAGAGCAGATGTGCCGAGCTTCGCTGTGGCTCTTTCTTGGAAAGGCTGCGGGCAGTATAGACACGTCCTATTCAGAACGCACCATTTTCATGCGAGTCCTATATACGTGGTAGCTAATGTTTGCACAGTTTCCATCGATACAGTGATGAGCATATTTTTTTTAGGCCTGAACACTACGCAGGGAGAGCAATCTATAACCAGGGGAAGAAGGGACCAATTTGGGCTTCTTAACTAACCGATCCTGTGTCGTTAACGATGAGACCTGTGGCAGAAAAGCCCGCTTGTGTCAGAGTTTATGGTGTAATAAATTCACGTGAAATGGGCTCTCCCTACTTCTCCAGCAGGTTTTGGAGCTGCAAGAGTGATGTATGGCTCACCTAGTCATCTAGGGCAACAGAAATGGCACTTGGCTCTCGTGCGGATACAAGGGAAGTTTAATTGCAGCACATGGCCGTGGGACAAGGGAAAACGTGGAAGAATAAAGATGAACTTCAGGTCCCGACGGATACGCTGCTCCCTGCGCCAGCCCAGCAGTCGACTGGCTGCATTTCCGGATGAACCGATGCAAGCTGCGCATCTACGGCCGCTAGTGCAAACCTCGGATTAACTAGAAGCCGCCTTTTCAAGACGCTGCCGTCTCCCTACGAAATCTGTGCTGCAGAAACGCTCTGGTGGAAGAATCGATGTCTTGCAGATCACAACGCTGCTCAGGTCTGATGCGCAGGCCGTTTTTTCTTTAGCTGGTGCCTCCTTTTGAAAGCAGTGGAGCGATCCCTGGTTAGCAGAGCAAGATGGGATTTTTTTTTGTTGCTTTTTTTGGCAAAGTGGGTTTTCATTGG